AACTTCACTGCTTAACTCCATAAAACAAGTACACCACCTCAATCCAATAATACATTCCCATCTAAAATATCTACATACAGAGACAAACACCACCTCGATGCAATAATACATTCCAGCTATAAAAGTCTATTAAGGAAGACTAATGCTGCCTCATTTCAATAATATGAAATTGAACTTCTATTCTTATCTTTCTGCCTTCAAATATCCCTTCTCATTTGTCTATTATCTTTCGGGTCAATGGAACACGTATGACCACAACCGACAAGCTTGCTGTCTTGGTGTCACTTTCACTTTCAACTCTGGCCTCACATTTTCCCCCACTTCAAATCTGTCTCCACATCACTTCCATCTAATATTCACTTCTATCTAACGCAATATGTTACTAAGACACTTGACATTGTTGCACAGACGTTATTTGTCATGTGCCCACCTCTAACTTTAATAACACTCAAACACCAATAAATTCTGTTGGAGTATAAAGTCCACAGCTTTATTAATTAATATAAATATATAAATTAACAATTTAGGGTCATTGTCAACAGTACTCCTTTCGTTCCACTCTCTCCTGTACCATACCCCCGACAATGACCCTACCAAAGAACAAACGTTAACATAACCAATAATACATAACATGTAACTCACGGCCTACCAGGAGGCCCCACCTCCATTTGTCTAACTGCATGGGGTGTACCCAGACACCCCTTGGTTCGTAGCCACCGATGGGCTCAAACCTACACCGGCCGCTCCGAGAAAGGGAGCACTCTTTTGTGCCATCATCAGCCTCATCCATAACGGCAAGTCCATCTGGTCCCACCGCATTGATGGATTCGCTGTCAGCCTTTGACAAAACTGTTCATCATATCTCCAACACGCTAATCCCCTGTATGTCCGATACGCGTCCCATATACCGTCTAAATAACAAAAAAGCTGCGAGCAGCGATCCGGGCACTTTTCCCCTATTACGCTCACCAAAATACAAAAGGCCCTCAACCAGTTCCCAAAGGTCTTGGGTATCTTCCGATACCTCCGCCTTTTTTCTTCTGCCTCCTTCTTTGCATCCTTCTTATCCTCCTCTTTGAGGTCTAAAAACTCTTCTAAGGGGAGTAGTGAAAACATCTCCACAAAGTCCCCTTTCCAAATTGTATCCTTAACCTCCGCTTTTAAGTGACACCCTAATGTTCCCGCAAAGGAGTCGTGCACGTTTTGGCGCGCTGCGTCGGATATTTCCCCACACCGCTCTAATTGCTCCCCTGGTCCTTGTTCCATCCCCTTAACAGGTTCCATGGCGCTCTTGCCTCCCCATTCTCTGCTGCCCCTGCGGATCTAACCCCCGTGTCCTGACTGCCTTCCGCAGCCCACACCTTCCTGAACTGTGGAGATAACCCTGTCGCCCCAGATCATGTTTCTAATAGTGATTGTAAGCACCCCAGTAGACTCCCTGAGTGTTGTGTAGTTGTTGACTCACCGCTGAAGCCCCCAGCCGCTGATGGCTGCGGGGGTGCTGTCCTTCTGTCCGCCTCGACTGGCTCCAGAGTATCCAGGGGACGCCGACTCCTGTCCGCCTGTTCCCGCCTTGATCTTGTAGGTGACCTACTCAGCGACCTGCAAGGAGAAGATAGCCTGGGTAGTCCGTACGGTTGCAGCCTCACCCGCCCTTCTTCCCTGTGCTCCAACTTGATGTTCCTACTCCCTCCTCTGTTCCTTGTCTGCGCCTCCCGTCTGCTCCCTTTTGTCCTCCGTTCTGTGTAACTCCTTTCTGACGACCCTGAAGCACTGCACCACTACCCCGACCTCCTGTCCCTGGAACTGGACCGCCTTCTACTGCTCCTGCTCCCGCTGTGCTCCTTTACCTGCTCCTCCATCTTTCAGCTGACTTCCTGATACTGCCGTGCCCATTCTCCTTTCTGCTCCATATACCCCCATCATCCCTCTTGCTCGCGCTCCTGTTGTCCCGCTGTTCCTGGGAGCTACCCCTGCGGGCCTCCCGCGCCCTGCTATCCCGTGCACCTTCTTCCCGGCCATGCTCTTGTTGTCTCCTTGTACCTGTCGCTCCTGTACACATCTTACCCCTCGCCTCTACGTGCCTGGTTCCTCTCCGCTCCTGACTGCTGACGTTCCTTTCTCTCCCCGCTCCGCTGACACTTGCCTCACTCCCACTCCTATTATCCTCATCCCTTTCAGCACCTTTTGTCCTGCACCTTGTAGCGGAGATGCAATATTCCCCAGGTATCTCCACTTATAATCCAAGTGAGGCTCAGGAACAAGTAAATTGTAAATCCACAGGCAAGGTTTCCAGCAGGCAAAATAACACAGCAGTATCCCACCAGCAATCCCAATAACTGGACGACACACAGTTTCAGGAGCAGAACTGAAATCTTTAATCCACACTGGCCTTTTAAAGCATGCTCCCATGCAAGGGAGGGATTACATTCATTAATACAGTAGCCAACCCTGCCCTGGTAACCTCCCACACATCTCCTCCCTTCAGCCGGCATCATAATCCCCTTATCCAGTACAGTAATTCCCCCCATTTCTGGATGTACCCCTAAACGTAGTGGTACCCCTTTAAATCCTACACCCCCTGATAGCCCTGATCTGGGTGAACAACATATCCAAAAATCACCCAGATCAGACCAGGGGTTCGGGAAATTTATGGAGGGAATAAAATGACCGACAGCACTGAGTGAAACAGCCGAATGCGGTTCCATGCGAATGGGCCCTGCGGTCGGTCCTGGAGTAAGGGAACAAACTGCGCGAAAACCTCTAGCTATAGAGGCTAGGGAGGGTTAGCCTGAATCCCCTCGTTCAGTTCTTTCTGTCTACCGAACGAGGGGCCGTTCGGTAGTTAGGATCGGACCGGGCTTGTGGAGGCTTCAGCGGTGTTCGCCTAGTCGAGTGTCCGATTTGAGTTCCAGACACTCGACGGCAAAACACTGCTGTTCGGGAGTTTTAAAATGGCCATGTGTTCGTTTGTCGAATGGCGGCCACCCCCGAGAACAAAGGACGGCTACTTCACTTGTCAATTACCCGTTCGCAACAATGTTGCAACGGGTAATTGAGGACACACTTCACACAGGGGAGGTCTGACTGTTCAGTAGTTTCATTCGAACAAACTAAGGGAATGAAACTACCTTACATTCAGACGAATCCAATACATTTTACACATAGAACTTAGCTATTTTACACAAATACATTCCCTTACTGCATAGACATTTAGCAAACAGACGAATACAGTTTAAACATAATGTAAGTCCCAGGGCAGCTCATGGCCATCCGCTACACACCTCATTCCAGCTCTGGCTGCCTCCTCCTGCCTCCCGCTGTCCTGCTCCCCTCCAGTGCCTTGTGGGACCGCTGTCAGTCTGCCGTCTGCTCCCTCCTCTCCCTCCCTGCCCCTCAGTGCTGCCCCAAGGGGGCGACTCGCCAGGACGCCTTGCAGAGCTCCTGATTCCGTCCATCTCCAACTCCCCCGACCTCTGCACGCTGACACCGGCAGTTTTTCCTGCTCCCCCGCCCGCCGCCATCCGGTTGGGGTCGCTCTTCGAGGGAGGCCGCTTCCTGGCCTGCAACCTCGCCGGCCCAGCGCCGTGTCTGCCAGGTGGCCCTGGCCGACGTCCTGCACCGTCCTGCCTCCCGGTCGCTGAAGACGAAGCTGCCACATTGCCCTCATACGCTCTCCTCTTCCTACGCGCTGCTGGACCCGGTCCTGGGCTGAGCCACTGGGGCACCTTGATCTTCTTTCCGGCCGCCGGTCAGCCACCGCATGGGGGGAGCAGACGTGCTCGGTGCCCCCAGCTGCCCCTGCAGCCACGCCATGCCTTTTTCTTTCACGATTGACCACACTCCCTTCAGGATCTCTTCCAAGGACGCCATGCTGCACCTGAAAAAGAAGAAAAGAAGAGCCCTGCCGACCTGCACAATTTACAGGTAACTAAGGCTCAAGTTAAAATGGCCATTCACTAAAATGGCCACTATTTAACTTCCCCTTTACCCCCCTCCCCTTCCATTACCATAGGTCAGCCCCATGACCTAAACTTAATCTGTCTACTCCTGGCTCTGTCAAGGCCCACTCCTCCCTGCGTTGCTTCGTGGTTTCATGTTCGACCATCCATCAATTTATGCCTTGATTATTGCAACTCAATCCTCATTGGCACACCCACATAGCTTCACTCCAATCTGTTATGATGCTGCCAAGCTTACCTACCTCACCCACCGCTCCTTTCCACACTTTGCCCCTCTGACAGTTTTTACCCTGGATTTCTGTATCTTTCACTGAAAATGCACATTCTTAGAAAATAAGGAAGAAAGTGTTTTGTGTATGAAAGGCACTTAAGTTGCTTGTATACAAAAAAATCTGAACAGCGGCTACTACACTATTGTGGGATCTCTCCCTCCCACTAATTCAACATGCAAACAAAGTGTAAGGTATTGTGGGTAAAGTGTCCTCCAACTCCCTTAGTGGAGCGCTGAAAAAAATATTTAAAGACACTTCCTCCTCCCTTTCGGCCATCTTTGCTTCTGTCGCATTCCCTTTCTTTTCATCTGGAAGTGACATGATGGACTCCTCACCGTAAGCAAAGATGGAAGAAAGCAAGGAGAAAGTGGCGCAAAGCGCTTCCGGTCTTGTGACTTCACCCTAAAATAGGATCGATGAAGAGAAATCAGCTGAGGGACCAGCTCCCACCTGATTGGACAGAAAGCATTGACAAAGCCCATGTATGTGACCAAATGCATTACTTTATGTGAAGCCTGTAAACATTTGTAATATTTTTTTTACATTTTGTTTTAGAGTATTTTAAAGTTATTATTTGTTAATAAATGTAATTTTTGCAGATCATTTAAAAGTTATTTTGTTTCATCTACTTATCTGCCTCTAAAAGAAGGGTTGTGTTCCCTTGGTTTTGGCAAAGCACTTGTTAATCCAGAGACAGGTCTTGTTAGGCTCTAGAGAAAGTGAGCAATTTCTTATATTATTTAACAAGTGCACTACTACTGACCATCCTTTATTAGAAGCAGTGACCTTTTCTCCTCTGTCTTATTTGAGCTCATTTGATAAAAAAAATATAGGAAGCCGGGCAGTGTCACCTTAGTACCCCCTGCACAAATGATTTGAGCCTGTCCTAATTGGCTCTAATTCATGTGAGTGTAACCATCTTGTTTATTATTTACCAAAACGTATCTGGCATACTACACTATATTTGCTTTTACCTTTTCCTCCTATGTATAGTTTTGCATATATCCTACTGTTCAAATAAAGGATGAGTGTGTCTTTAAATATTTTTTCAGTGTTCCACTAAGGCACTTGGTGGTGGAGGGCACTTTACCCCCAATACTCCACACTTTGTTTACATTCTTAGGAAAGTTTATTATTTTCCTGTATAACTTCTCTCATTACAAGATTTTTTACATCCTCCACACATAACCTGTGCTTTCACAGTCCATTAAATCTTTTCTCTCCACTCTATATTGTCTCCACTCACAACTCTCACACAATCACAGACATCAAAACCCCCATCCTCTCCTTCCTTTTCACATCATGAAGTAAACATGGATAGTTTATCCTCCATACCCTAACTCCCCTCAGAGACAATGAACATTGTATCCTCAATTCTCTACTCCCCTTTCACATGATGAACTAAACATGGAGATCTTATCAGCCATCCTCTCCTCACCTCGCACACAATTAACTAAATATGGACATCTAATAGACATCCTATCCTCCATCTTCTCCTCCCCTCGGACACGATGAACTAAACATGGACATCTTAAAGATCTCTTATCACCCATCCTCTCCTCTGCATTCACGTGAGGAACTAAACATGGACATCATCTTACCCTCCATCCTCTCCTCTCCTCAGATACGATGAACTAAACATGGACATCATCTTATGCTCCATCCTCTCCTCCCCTCAGATACGATGAACTAAACATGGACATCATCTTATGCTCCATCCTCTCCTCCCCTCGGACACAATGAACTAAACATGGACATCATCTTATCCACCAGCCTCTCCTCACCTCTGACACAGTTTTTACCCACTTGTTTTGTTATTTCCCTTCCTCTTAGATCGTGATCTGGTTTACACAGAGCACTCATTACCTCACGTTTCTGTATAAATGCTTGTTTAATATCCACAATGTATTATTTTAGCGTTGAAGAATATGGTGGTGCTATATAAATGCATATAATAGTAGTGGTAATACATTCCATATACAGGTCTACTAACTGAGACTAATACCACCTCAGTCCAATAATACATCCCATCTCTAAAAGCCTATTAGCACAGACTAACAGCACCTAACAGCACTTAATGTTTTACGACACAGATCTCTTCATGATATACAGTATAAATCACCGCCACATATCGGGTAAAATACACTGGACAACTCTGGGTTGTGACATGGAATCTCCCAGATCAAACATATCCAATAATATGTGATTAAATTGTTTGTATGACCAAGATGGAGGACAGAAAGAGAATCTCCAGGAACTCAGGGTGTTCATGCCACAGGCAGTTTTATTGGAACAAAACAGGACAGCAACATTTCGACCTAACACTAGGTCTTTGTCAAGCTATAACCAGACAATCAATCCAATGTATACATATCAAGTGTGCATACAATTAACCAATAACAGGTTTACATATACCAATCAATGTTGATTTATATATGGAGGTCAGAACGCATCTCAAATTCTTTATGTCAGAGTATTGTCACTCCCCTTCCAAACCTTGCAATCCAATCATGTTTTCTTAGTCAGATCCTGCAAAGGTAAAGGAAGTTCTGTTTAGATTAAATGATTACAAATTAGCTCTAATCTCTATGTGTTCTTGTAATCCTGATCAATATAACTTGATATAATATGACGATTCACGATATAGTAGTTTACAGTTTAAATGTTGATTGCTAAATGAACTGTAAGCTTTTTAAAGAAATCATTCATAAATGATATAATTCAACCACAATGTGTGTAATGGAAATAGCTATGTAGTTTAATGGTCACTATAAGAAGACACCCTCTGGTCATTATTTAAAGGGACACTTTGTGGGAGATGTTATCTTGTTGATGCCATAGTAAGGTTTTGCATGTTTAGTGTTATGGCCAATTCCTCCTGGACTGCTAGCAGAGACCTTTTCACCTCTTGGGTTCTACTCACTTTATTTTGTTTGCCAATTACCGGCTGTTTTATTGCTCTTTTTAATATTGTAAAACCCTGCAGAATGAGCTGTGTAGCAGAGTTTCCTGTACCGAGTGGGTACCTCCGCTAGAGCGGTTACTACCTAGCTGGAACTGGGAAACGGATGAGAGAACTAGCATTTTTTGTCCTAAAAGGATATTCCCCGCTGGAACAACAGACACAGGGGTTCAATCTTCCTTCCATCCAGTAACCAGATGACACACAGTTCTGGAGGTTAAAACACTCTGCCAATCTTTATTGCAGCACACCGCTTTTTATGCACAGACCCACTCAGGGGGTCTGCATTCAGGACAACACCATCCCAGGCAGGAGGGGGTTGGGTTACAGATAGCCATATCTCGCTCTACGAGATAGTAACAGTACGCAGGGACACATATTAAAACATATGCCAAATGGGGGGCGGAGCCAGCAGCCAAACCGAGAGCTCAAAAGAACGCTCAATTCAACTTAAAAACGGTGGAAAACCTACCTTAACGACACCCCTTGTAGCAGATTGCTTTCCAGATGACATGGGGCAACGGAATAAAAAAAATGAAGCCGGATAAACCCCCTACAACGGCTGATATCGGAGTCCTCCTGCGGAGGCCCCAATATGCCCAATGGCCCGCAATGGCGTCTCAGATAGAAGGCCTCTATAACTCATCTAGCGAAGCTTCTGGGTCTGATGAGGGTGACTACGGCACTCAAGCTAGGAGCAGACCGACTCACTCACCTGCGAAACCTCCGATCACGGAGGAGAAGCTGAGGGACATGCTTGGTGAGCTGCGCTGCAATATTGCAGCTGACATCAGCACGTTCTGTGAAGAAATCAGCGGAGTATCAGCCCGCCTGCAAAACACAGAGCTTAACACTGCCGCACAGGAGAGCAGACTAGCAACGGTAGAGCAACAACTTTTAGTCCTACATCAAGACAGCATGGCTGCACTTGAAGATCAGAGGAGCTGGAAGAACGTCAAAATCCACGACCTACCTGATGCGGTGGAAACCGCAGAACTACCACACCGGTTCTGCAGAATGCTGAGATCGCTCTTCCCTGCCAAACAGGCCAAAGGCATGCCACTAGACAGCTGGTATTGGATCACCAAACCTAAGACAGGTAACTCAGAGAGAGGGAGAGATGCAACAAAGTGCTTCCAACAAGGCAGAGACAGCATGGCCTTCATGGTGGCAGTGCGCAATAAACCCCCCCTACATTTTGAAGGACATTCCCTGACTTTTTATCCTGACATATCCAAAGCCACCATGAATTGGAGAAGGTCCCTTAGACCCTTAACTACAGAGCTCACATGATACACCCTACCAATGGGGCTCACCCAGAAGCCTGCTCATACCCAGGGAGACTGGCAACCTCAAAGTACGAGAAGTGGCCGAGATCCCAGCCACACTACAGAAACTGGCAAACACCTGAACAAGCTACAGTTGACCCACAGATGACACCCACGGCCTGGAATCCCGCTACAGCACACCTGTTCATACCAGCAGCCCAACTAGGAGAAACAGCATCCACTTCGGTGCCCTTAACTTTCATGCAAATAATTAACAATGCCGTGGCTGTTATATATAGCTCACAGTTCCATAATTTTCCATGAGCATCGTTTGAAAGTTAAAGTTAATTTTGTTTTATAATTAAGGCATATTTGCATAACCTCCTAGGGAAATATCCTCACACTGATCTGGCTCCACTTAAACACCCCCCCTCCACCATAGTAACAAACAGTACTTGCCATCTTACAAGTATACAGGGGGCACAGGCCTTTTTTACTTACCCTCAGTCCATTGGACTCTAGCCAACTCCATGGTAAAAGAGGCGTCTAATGCACCCTGCCCTACACTTACCTATCGATCACTAGCCTTGCAACACTTAGGCAGGAAATGCATTACAGTTACTTAACTATTCATTACTTCTTATATTACTATATATTTCAAAATGTGCCATTTTATCAATGCTGACTTGCACTAGCTGTTGGGGCAATGCAAGCATATATGTACCGGTAATGCACAATCAAAATAAAGAATTAATAAAGAATTAAAAATAAAATATGCCAAAAAAGGAGGGATAACCTTTGGGGCTCGGGAATCGGTTACAGGGTTGAAACATACATCGCTAGATAGTCCCTGACCCCCACTAGGAGCCCTGCAAAAAGCAGGGCAATCGGATGTACAGAGCCTGATAAATCATCATCTAAAGTCTGGGACTCGAGGCTCTGTACATCCCTGAAATTAGTTCTATGAAGTTGTTTGGTTTAGTCTGGTGAATTCAAACTTCGCGCCTAAACCAAGCAACAACCAATCGGCTGAAAGGCCCAAAACCAAATCGTGCCAATCAGCTCACAGAGAGGAGAGGAGTTTTGCCGCCCAATCAGGCTAATGGGTGCAAAACTCGATTACACCAATTGGCGCTCGGGGATGATAGGGTTTTTTGCCGCCCAATTAGGAGAAAGGGCGTGAAACCCCATTTGAATGGGCGCTCCTTCTCTTATTGGTCGCCTGCGCCCCGCAGCGACCAATCAGCGCTCACTCGTGCCGACCAACTAGAAGAATGGTGTGGATGAAGTTTGAATGGGTGCTCCTTCTCCCATTGGTCAGCACTGACTTCCACGCGGCCAGCGGGGACTCTGCACCTGTGAGACCGACTCACAGCTCCAGGAATTCCCTGCTGGCTCGCACCTATCTCTTGGGCAGCCAAGAGCCTAGCCTTGTAGCTCCAGGGAGGGGTACGCAGTGATCATAGCTCCGTTGGGAGTGGGTAGGATGATCTCTGACACGGGGAATGAATACAGGATGCGCACGCCGGTTCGGGATGCAAATACTGCCCCTGGTTAGTGTTCGGCTATAAGAACTGGCGGTCACCCAGGGGAAGCATGCGCTGCTTGTTTCCTATTGCGGTTTGTGGTTTTCCCAAGTCGTTACGAGGTGTGAATGTTCTAAGTAGACATTTTAAATGAGGTCTTGGGGTGATCTCCATTTGGGAGCTGAACAGAACCCGTTCGTATGAGCTCTTCCGAACAGGGAGCTGGTTAAATACACCAATACAACACAATGACATATGGATACACAGGGGAGCACAAAATACAAGCCAAAACATGTGAATATTAAGTGGGAATGGCACTTAGTGGCGGTGGCCCGCTATATGCTGCTTCTATATAAATAATTAAAAAAAAATTAAATCGTTAATGATACAGTCAATGTATGTCACAGAGTCATGTTTCTTGCTCAGTATACACTACTGCTGGTTCAATTGATGTTGCTTCACGGGGCCCACATGCTGGAGAGGACCCATTGGGTGGCTCCTTTAATGGCAATACTATCATATTGGCAGTGCTGGGAGGATGTGAGTTCAGGTCACTTCCTCCCTGCTGACAGTGAGAGCCATGCAGGCTTGGAGGAGGGGAGAGGAAGGAGTCAGATGCACTGGCTTCACCCAAAAGGTATGGAAACAGGAGGGTAGCTACAAATATGGAAATTATAACCTCTTAACTTCTTTATGTGTGTGTATCTGTGTGTCAGTATTTATCTATATGTGTATATATGTTTTTGTATGTGTGCACTTGTGCTTGTGTCGCAATGTATGTGTTTAAGTATGCTTGTGTGTGCATGGGAATGTGTGTATTAAATGGCAACTCTACATAAAAGCACACCACTGCAATAAAATATCAACCACACACACAAATACACACCAGCATTCACACACCCAGTCCAAACAAAAGCATCTCTTACATTTAAACACACGGATAATACTCATAAATACAGCCCTGCAACAATGGGAAAATAATAAATCCCAAGGCAATACAAAATATATTTACAAAATAAAAAGTCCAATAGATTATCAGATGCTTGGAGTATGCTTTACTTGTAAATCGCCCAGGCTTCTGATGGTGGCAGGTATATGTAATAAAGAAGAAAGAAAGCCGGTAATGGTGCAGAGTATCTAGTACCAAGTGCAGAACAAACAACAAAGAGGTCTATGATGTAGCACTCACATTTAGTAGAGCTATAATACCAGCTCTGAGTATAACAGTGTGCAGTGGTACTATCCCCACTAACGGATATGTTGTTCTAGGAGTCAGTCGCTCGGCATGTAGGTGGATATATATATAAAGACAAAGACAAGGCAAAAAATTGTGCTCTCTGTAAAACTGTACACTAGGTAAAAGTAAGTTACTCTCATTTGATGGAGCAATATACTCTTGCTCAGGTATTAACGCTTGGGTGGTACAATTCCCACCAGGGATATAATGTAGAGTAGCTCCTCCAAATAGTATTTTTTCCCAGGATACAGGTAGACGTAGGCAATGGTGGTATATATGTGCCAGAAACAGTAAAATATATAAAAAGAACTAAAACAAACTAAAAAAGCTGGCAAATCATTGTGGGAGTTGTACGACAGTTGAGGATCTACCTGTTGGCCCTCTCATACTAGTTCCACCACTGATTCATCTCCACAATAGTGTATGTTTGGCACATGTACAGAGTCATTTTTTTTTTTTTTAAATGATATTTCATATTTTAATCTCTGACTTTCACATTCAGTAATATCAGTGCACCTGGGGAGTGTAACGCAGGGAGTGCTACGTGAAGGAAAACAGCTTTACCTTATTAACTCCTCCGAAGAGTAATTATGGCCTCAATTTAATAAGCATTCCATATGATTTGATTTTTTAGACAAACTTTCTAAATCATTTATCCATAAAAATTCACATAGACTTTAATAATGACTGATGTATATAAATCATCGGTAATGTTTTTCTAACAATATTAAATAATAGTAATTTACTAATCATAATCTAGGGTGAAAAAAAGGCTAAAGTCCATCAATTTCAACCTTTGAATTACATTGTCTCTTTAAAAAAAATAAAAAAATAATAACGACACAAACTCGTATGTCTGGGTTTGGCAGTAAAAATCAGAAGGTGGTCCAAAACTCACACTGTCTGTTTGAAACTTTATTAAAAAAAAAAACTCAATTTATGTAAAAAATATAAAAATAAAAAACACCTAGTTAAACAAAATGCAACATGCCAATGAAATCACTGAGTCCTGTTTGAACCAAGTGCACCATTCAAGTACTTACTGTTCAGCAGTTCCAAGGGGTGAAGTTAGTCCCTGGTACTAATACGAAGTAAACACAAACTGCTATAAAGTCCATAGTCTATTCACCCCTTAGGGGTTTTTAAATCCTAACACATAACAAAATTGCAATGGTTATTGCAAGTCTACAAATTCTAATCCCCTCAAATTAAAATGGCGAGGGTCAATTTAAAGATTTATTGAACAACAATCTATAACAATGTATAACAGCTATCCCAAACTAAGATAATGTAACCACCAATAGTATGTAGATTCAATGCAGCCATGGTTACCTGTTAGGCTGTAATTGGGTAGGATGCGATAAGATGGTCATAGAAGGAAAAGTGATGGCGTATATTGACACACAATGCCAGCCATCACTTTTCCATTCTATCCAATTTTTTTCCTATTTCACTTCAAAATATTTTACCACAATTAATTTTACTTACAGATATCACCCGTAAGAAATAGTAGGGAAAAAAGATAACATTACTCTGTTTTTTAATTTGTCAACAACCAACCTGCTAAAAAAAATTCACTTTTTCTTTTGCTAAAAGAAAATATATAGCAGACATTAGTTAACATCCATTTTTGTACTTTTTTAATACGTGTGACGGACCACCTGGCACCCCGACTGGGTACCTTCGCCAATCGATGCTTCCTAGCTGACACTGAGGACCATAAGAACGCACCAGACACCATAAACACTGTAGATCCCACGAACAACCGCAGCTTGGTTGGGGTCTCGCCACCCCTTCCATCCTGGACCAAACTCCTGCATCCAGGGACTCAGCACGAAGGCCTCTCCTCCAAGAGAGTATAGCTGTGAAGCTCTTACAAGAGCTAGTGATATAGCTGTGAAGCAGATTCCCTACCATCACGAGACCAGGCTACATGTTGAGGGTTAAGCAGGAATGCTTTAATGTTTGCCACACTGGCCTTTAATGCAAGTCCCCAAGCAAGGATGACACCCACATGGACCTTGTTGGGGACAGGGACACAAATGTATACACCAATCACAACAGAGTTACAATCTAAGGCACTCCCACACATAATACAATAAGCCTCCCCCTTTACTTAGGAGATAATTGAGTCAAGAACTATACTAGCTCTGTTTGGAATGGTGTACTTGAGTAAGTACTTGAATGGTGCACTTGGTTCAAACAGGACTCAGTGATTTCATTGGCATGTTGCATTTTGTTTAACTAGGTGTTTTTTATTTTTATATTTTTTACATAAATTGAGTTTTTTTTTTTAATAAAGTTTCAAACAGACAGTGTGAGTTTTGGACCACCTTCTGATTTTTACTGCCAAACCCAGACATACGAGTTTGTGTCGTTATTATTTTTTTATTTTTTTTAAAGAGACAATGTAATTCAAAGGTTGAAATTGATGGACTTTAGCCTTTTTTTCACCCTAGATTATGATTAGTCCATTCATGGTAGCTCTGTTTGGAATGGAGATAAGCTGTACAAAAAAGATGGTTTGCATCTTTCTCAAAAGGGAACAAACGTTCTCAGTGAGCAGTTCAGAGGTTTTGCTAGGATGTATTTAAACTAGGAGGGGGGGGCAAAAGGGTGATAAAACATCAATCCAATTGTCCCCAAAACAAGGACAGAAGGTGCCTGTAGCAAGTGTGTTAAAAAATGATAGCTTGGGAGTGTATACACAGGAAATACTCACAGTTTAGGGAATAAGATCCATGAACTTGGCAAATAATGGCAACTGATAGTGTAGATTTAGTCGCTGTTACTAAGACATGGTACAATGAGAAAAACGACTGGGACATAGCAATACCAGGGTACTCTTTATATAGGAAAGATAAGGAAGGCAAGAAAGGGGGAGGGGTGGCCTTGTATGTGAAGGATAGCATAAAATCTAGCCTAATAAAAGTTAGTGAGGCAAACATAGAGTCCGTTTGGGCTACGTTAGAATTTGGTAATCACACAGTAACTCGTGTAGGTGTGATTTATAGGCCCCCTGGACAAATTGAAGAGTTAGATAATCTACTAGTTGAGGAAATAGCTAAAATGACAATGAAGGGGAAGTTATCATCATGGGTGACTTTAATCTTCCTGATGTAAATTGGAAAACAAAATTAGCTACTTGTGCCAGGAGCACACATATTCTAAACTCCCTACTGGAGTTGTCTCTAAAGCAAGTTGTTGAGGAGCCAACTCGTAAAGAGGCCATACTAGATTTAGTGTTAACAAATGGAGATTTGGTATCAGATATTACTGTAGGTGAAAGTTTGGGATCCAGTGATCATCAGTCAGTGTGGTTTAATATAAGAACAGTGACTGAGTCACACCACACAAAAACAAAAGTTTTAGACTTTAGAAAAACAGACTTTTCTAAAATTAGAATATGGGTAGAGGAGTCATTATCAGACTGGAGCAATTTAAATGAAGTCCAAGAAAAATGGGATTATTTAAAAGTTGCACTATTGAAGGCAACAGAAAATTGCATTAGGCTTGTCAGTAAAAGCAAAAATTCAAGAAACCACTGTGGTACTCCGCAGATGTGGC